GTGCGGATTTTGGCACAGGACAGGCCCCGTGAGGGGCAAGAGGCACAGAGACAGGCCCCAGCGAGGGGAAGAGCGCGGGAAGCGTGTGGCATAGGCCCGGGGGGGCCAGCCTGCAAGAGTAAAGCCCAGGAGGGGCTAATGTAAGACTGGAGACACAAGAACGTCTGGAATAACTGTGAGGCTTGGGGTGTGCTAAAGGGGAGGTAGGAGGCACACATAGCCCATAAGGCTGGGGGTGCACCAAGTCACCCATAGATACCAGGAGATCAAAGGCAGCCTCCCATATTAAATTATAAAAGATCAAAGACGGGCGAGAATAAGAGGGTGCTGGATCTCCTAATTGGCACGGCAGAGGGCACTATCGGGATCACAGCCGCTCCTAGGCCCCACTCCGTGACACCTGGAATGCAACATAACGGTGAGTGATGCATTATTTGGAGGCAATTATGATAACCCCCCAAAATTTACACATTTTTCACTCCTTAGATTAGGTCTGGAAGACCTGGGGGCAAAAATGCTTGCATATCACCTGGCATACTCTCCTTTGATACAGGCAGGAACACTACACTGCTGGGAAAATTTACGTACAAAAACTAGCAGACACCACCACTAGCTCAACCCCTTCCAAATGCATTCAACTGTTGTCTGTATTACAGTTCAGGCAAGGCTGAGAACACATTTTGCTACATAAGAGATGACATAACATTTCAAGATACCTGGTAATAAAAAAGGTCTACACTATCCTGAGTTTTTTTTTTTCACTGATGAATATGACAGTGTGCCACGACTCACTCACATAATTGAGGAGTGACCAAGGGTATGTCTAGACCATGGGCTGGCAATATATGGACCAAGGGCTGCATCTAGTCCACAAAAGAGATTGAATCTGGCCCACCACAACCTGTGGTAGTGATGGGGATTAATGGCATGGGGCAGCCAGGGGCACCTTCTCTGCCCTGCATTCCTCTGCTACATGCTGTCATCCCTTCTGCAACATCCAGCAGAAAAACCAATGCACAGAATGGTGGCTTACAGTTCATAAAGGTTTCTGATTCCTGGTCTAGACTGTAACATACCGTAATGGTATCTGAAGTTAGGTTGGCAGCAGGAAGAACCTGGCCACAGCTGTACTAAGTTCCAATGGAGACTAATTTATCCTACAGTTGGTCTGGGTAAATTAGCCAAAATCAATATTTGTGCTGTTGTGACTAGACTGCTACTGGTACCCAAGCACCCTAAATTTGCTGATGACAGCTTTTTATTGACACTTAACATTGCAAGAGTATGTGACGAGTGGCTGTAAAGGTGCTGTATGTGGTTTATCAAAATTTAAAATATTAAGCCTTGACATTTCAATTTTCTACTTTATGTCTAATCACCATCACACAAAGAAGACTACAAAATGCAAAGCTTACACTTTCTGATTCCAGAAGTCCTACTGGTTCTACAAATCGCAACTTAGTGCCACTCATACACCTTTGTGTTACAAAAATACATTTTTGAGGGCTGTAGGATATACAGCCTGAATGAAACACCAGTTTTATTATGTTGGTAACACTTTGTATCTGATAACTCTTCAAAATCATAACTGAAGAAGCAGTGTTATGAGACACAACACAACTATAAAAAGGCTTTCAGAAAGCAAACCACGTTGATGAGTCACATATTTGTATTCTGATATTGTGGGAGAAGAGAAGAAAAAGGAAACAATTTAAGAATCTAATATTATATCTAAAATTACGCTGAACATAATTAAGTATTGTAACAGGGAAATACATGAGAAGAATGGATATTTTTGGTGATATTTATCTTAGGTGCTGTAAGCATTTCTGAAACCCATAAGTAAGAAAGCCAAAAACTGCTTTTCAAACATAGTTACTTTCTTATTGTAGAATACTGTACAAAAATTCAGTTAGCCTATGTAAGTTTGGAAATGCTGTTAATGTATATTATTAACATTGCTTCTTTTACAGCAATAAACTTCAGATCACACAAGTGTTTCAGCATTTTTTTCCTATTAGTTACATGTAACACAGTTTCTTCGTAAGTGTTAGAACAATCTATTCTGGGGCTCTGAATGACTGCCCTGTGCTCAGAGCCAGAGCCAAAGGACTCAACATTATTAGGCTAACTAAGCAGCTAGCTCAGTCATAATTAGACATGTGCTTAAATGCTTTCCTGAATAAAGATGGACTACACATGCTGGTCTACTGGGCAGTATATTTTGAAATCATTATGGCTTACGCACATGCCTATGCACTTTCATGTATTAAGGCCAAGGCTTTTATTTAAAAACAAACTAACACACACCTATTAACTTCCTTATATAAGCCCTACAAGGACAGACTAGGGCACCTGGACCTCTTCAGCCTCTGCAAGAGAAGGTTGAGAGGTGACCTTGTGGCTGCCTATAAATTCATCATAGGGGCGCAGAAGGGAATTGGTAAGGCTCTACTTCCCAAGATGCCCCTGGAGGTCTTAAGAAATAATGGCCATAAGCTAGCAGACAGCAGATTTAGATTGGACATTAGGAAAAACTTCTTCACAGTTAGAAATCCAAAAATCTGGAATAGGATCCCAAGGGAGGTGGTGCTCTCCCCTACCCTGGGGGTCTTCAAGAGGAGGTTAAATAGGCATCTGGCTGGGGTCATCTGAACCCAGCACACTTTCCTGCCTATGCAGGGGGTCGGACTTGATGATCTATTGACTTCCCTTCCGACCTTACATCTATGAAAAACATTATAGTCATGCTCATTGGACAGCTATATACCTGTTTGCTTGGAACTGGAATGAGACTAAGAAATCACTATTACCCAAATCACTGCACTGCTATAAGATGATACTTATTTTACAAATACTGTCTGGTGTTTATAATTATTGTATATACCCAAATCCAAGACAACTTTTAATTTAACATGACCACCCCCCATAATTAGATTTTATACATGTAAAATTTATAATTTGTTATAATTTTTCATGTATAGAATTTAATTATTGGAGGGTCATTTTAAATTCAGCCAGTCCCCACTGATGCTGTGGGGAAAACAGAGGCAGAGGGCAGGTGTTGGGGGGCCAAGTAGAGGGGGCCCATATTAAATGGGGAAACAGAAGCCAAACTAACTGCTTGCTGCACTTGTATTTGTAGCAACGTAACAAGTTATATAATCTACATCATCGTACTTTAGGGATCACTGGGGGCAAAACTGGGATTGGGTGCCAGATCCAGCACACAGGGCCCAGGACTTCTCATGGGTTCAGAGATTTGGCTGGTCCATGCCAAGCACAGCTGATTTCTGTTTTTCTTTTGTTGGTTGACTGCCTATGGCAGGGTGATCAACCTCTGGTGTGCAGCCCCATGTCTCCCCTGCAGCCAAATCTCTCGACTCATGGGAGTCCTGGGCCCTGTGTGCTGGATCTGGCACCCGAACCCAGTAAGCAGGGTCAAATACAGGTGACACTGAGCCCTGGGGCACAGTGAGTGGGGTGGGTTGAAAGGTGGCAGTGCTGGGCCCCCAGGACCCAAGGTCAGTGCCTAGGGCCGGGAAGGGGAGGTGCCAAGCCCTCAGGACCCAATCCCAGCATTCGGGGCAGGGAGGAGGTAGTGCTGAGCCCCAGGGCCCGATCTGGCCCAGAGATGGGCCCATGCCAGTCACCTGGCCCATGAGGTCACAAGGTTGAGCACTACTGGCCTATGGAGCAAAAGAACCAAAATAGTGTAGACTCATCAGAAATCCAGGTTCTTTTTGACAAAAATAATTTTTGATAAAGAAGGAACTAATCAAATAAAGATCTGAAACATGAAGAGACTTTCATATTAAATTATATTCATTTTAGGACAGTGAAGGGCTTTTATTACTTAATCCTTAAATATGTTCTGTTTATGGCTTTTATTTAGCTCGCAGCACCTGTCTGACCTCACTCCTTTCTATTGAACGTACATTTAGGTTAACACATGCATGCACACACCACGCAGGAATGCTTCCACATATGCTGTAACAATTTGTATAAAAAGATTTGCTCTAGTTTCCAACTGACCTCGCATTTGAAAGTTTTGCCTACAGCAATATTTACAGAGGAGTTAATAAAATGAAAACATGAACGCAACCTTAGCTAGATTGCTGAAAATGGTGTTAGTGTCATGGTTGATAAGAATCCTGAGCTGCTATTACTAGGCCATGTAAGCCTTGTAATGTGTTTCAAGCAGTAATCGATAACTAATTTATCAAAGGCGGCACATTTCTTAATCCATCTGGCCAGTTTGATCAGTGGCAGACTGACCTGCACATATAGTACTGACAAGGGAAGAAAAAATTACTTGAACATTTTTCTGCTGTGATATCACTCTTGGGTCTTCTGTATTCAGAACCATATAGGAAACTATACTAACTCTTAAGATTCTTACTCCTAGAGACTCAGAAGTGAGAAACCTGCAATGATGGTATGTCCACAGAAAGAGGGTCCCCTCCTTTCCTCCCACACCAGACCTCATAAGCCTCCACTGACAAAATTATAAATGCTACAGACACTTACAAAATGATCTACTAGTTTTAATTTTTGTTTGTTTTTAATTTGGCCAGTCTCTGTCGTTAGCCTCCACCACATGTTCACTTAATGGCACAATGGGATCTATTCTGAAATCCCAACAATTGTGCCTCCTGCCATACCACAAGTACATGGCAGGATTTTGGGATCATGGATCAGATCCTAATTATGCCATTACAGCTTGCCGGTTAAGGGGACGTCTGGGATCATGATGCCAGGCTCCCCTTGAATGGGCAAGTAGAAAGCCAGTACCAAGTGAACTCATATGGTCCTGAAGCAAGGACTGATAAATAGTTGATCTCAGCCCTGCGACTGCATGGGACCGAGTTCACGACTCTAGTGTAGTCCCAGAACTGAGACTAATAATCAGCTGACTGTGGGTCCTAGCCTCGGGACTAAACTAGGGTCAGTCTCAGAGCCCTGCCATGCAGCTAGCTTCAGGCTGCATAGCAAGGTCCTGCTGCACATTCAGTTTAAGGCACCATGGAAGCCACCCACAAAAATTATTACACTTAAGAGGAACAAATAGAAGACCTGGGAAGAATATAAGAGCATTACTCGGGCATGCAAGAGTGAAGTCAGGAAGGGCAAAAAGTAATTGAAGTTGCAGCTAACAAGGGATGTGAAGAGTAACAAGAAGGGATTCTACAAGTATGTCGGTAACAAGAGGACGATCAGGGAAAATGTGGGTCCCTTACTGGGGGAGGCAACCTTGTAACAGAGGATGCAGAAAAGGCTGAAGTGTCCAATGCCTTTTTTGCCTCTGTCTTCACAGACATGGTCAGCTCTCAGACTATTGCACTGGGAACCACAATTTGGGGATGAGGTGAGCTGCTAGCAGTGGTAAAAGAACAGGTTAGAAACTATATTTTGAAAAGTTGGACACGTACAAGTCCATGGGGCTAGACAGAATGTACTCATGAGTGCTCAGCAAGTTAGGTGATGTGATTGCAGAACCACTGGCCATCATCTTTGAAAACTCATAGTGATCAGGAGAGGTCCCAGATGACTGGAAAAGGGCAAACTTAGTGCCCATATTTAAGAAAGAAAGAGAGAAGGAAAAAAGGAGGATCCAGGGAACTACAGACCAGTCAGCCTCACCTCAGTCCCTGGAAAAATCATGGAGCAGATCCTCAAGGAATCCATGTCTAAGCACTTGGAGAAAAAGGTGATTAGGAGCCATCAGAATGGATTCACCAGGGGCAAGTCAGTCCTGACTAACCTGATTGCCTTCTATCATGAGAGGACTGACTCTGTGTAAGTGGGGGACTGGTGGATGTGGTGTACCTTGGTCCTAGCAAGGCTTTTGATAGTCTCCCACAACATTGTCTCAGGCAAGCTAAGGAAGTGTGGGCTGAATGAATGGACTGTAAGATGGATAGAAAATTGGCTGGAGCATCAGGCTCAAAGAGTAGTGATGGCTTGATGTCTAGTTGGCAGCCAGTATCAACTAGAGTGACCCAGGGGTCGGTCCAGGGGCCAGTTTTATTTAATGTCTTCATCAACAACCTGCAAGACAGTACAGAATGCACCCTCAGGGGGTTTGCAGATGACACCAAGTTGTGGGGAGTAATAGATATGCTGGAGACTATGTCTAGGCTTCAGAGTGACCTGGACAAATTGGAGGATTGGGCCAAAAGGAAACTCATGAGGTTCAACAAGGACAAATGCAAAGTTCTGCACTTAGGATGGAACAGTCCCATGCTGGGGGCTGACTGGCTGGGCAGCAGCTCTGCAGAGAAGGACCTGGGGGTTACAGTGGACAATAAGCTGAATATGAGCCAGCAGTGTAACCTTGTTGCCAAGGCTAACAGCATACTAAGCTGCATTGGAAAGCGTGTTGCCAGTACATCAAGGGAAGTGATTGTTCTCCTCTAGTCAGCACTGGTGAGGCCACATCTGGAGTACTGTGTTCAATTTTGGGCCCCCACTACAGAAAGGAAATGGACAAATTGGAGAGAGTCCAGCAGAGGGGAACAAAAATGGTGAGGGGCTAGGGGACATGGCGTCTGAGGACAGGCTGAGGAAACTGGGCTTATTTAGTTTGGAAAAGAGAAGACTGACAGGGAATTCATAGCAGCCTTCAACTTCCTGAAGGGGGCTCAAAAAAGAAGATGGAGCTAAACTGTACTCAGTGGTGGCAGATAACAGAACAAAGAACAATGGTTTCAAGTTGCAGCAAGGGAAGTTTAAATTAGATATTAAGAAGAATTTTATCACTAGGAGGGCAGTAAAACACAGGAACAAGTTACTCAGAGAGGTGGTGAAATCTCCATCCTTGGAGGTTTTCAAGACCTGGCTAGAGAAAGCCTTGGCTGGGATGATCTAGTTGGGGATAATCCTGCTTTGAGCAGGGGTTGGACTAGATGACCTCCTGAAGGTCCCTTCTAACCCTAATTTCCAACCATACTATGATAGTTTAGAGAAAAGAAGACTGGCAGGATTTCGTAACACTTTTCAAATACCTGAAGGGTGGTTATTAAGGATCGTAGGAAAGTAGAGCTGGAAGGGACCACATGAGGTCATCCCTGTTTAAGGCAGAATCATTCATGACTAAACAATCTCAGACAAGTGTCTTTCCAAGTTGTTCTTGAAAATTTCCAGGGCTGGAGATTCCACAATTTCTCTAGGTACTTTGTTCGAATTCATGACCACTCTCATAGTCAAAAAGTTCCTCCCAATTTTCAACCAAAATTTCCTCTACTGTAGCATGAGACCATTGCTTTTAGCCCTGTCTCCTACAGTCACAGAGACAGCCATCACCCTCCAGGTACTTGAAGACCTATCAAATTCCGCCACAGTCTTTCTTTCT